ACCGCCCGGCTCGGGGGTGGGGGCGCAGCGATGCTCAGCCGGTGCTGGTGAGGGCAGGTAGGGGCACTATCCATTTTGGCCAAGGGTCACACATTTACATCACAATTGGGCCGGAGTTTAAACATGTCTGGCCCTCTCCCTCCCCACCATCTGCGGCTGAATGTTCTAGCGATAGGGGCTGCTGTGGATGAAGTCCTTGGGGAGAAAGGGACCCGGCCAAGGGCTATGGTGGAGTAGAGCTGCCTCGCAGAGGCAGCATGAGCTGAGAGGGTGAGAGGAAGGAGACGCTACACAGCATGGAGGACTTTCTGCTCTCCAATGGGTACCAGCTCGGCAAGACCATTGGGGAAGGGACCTACTCCAAAGTCAAAGAAGCATTTTCCAAAAAACACCAAAGAAAGGTGGCAATTAAAATTATAGACAAGATGGGAGGGCCAGAAGGTGAGCTGGGGCCCCTTGGGAGGAGGGGCGGGCTGGCGGACGTGGGTGGGGGCTTCCTCCAGTCAGAAGGATCACTCCTCTTCCCCGTTAGTCTAAAACTAAGGGCAAGAGCCATTGTGGCTCTGGAGTAGGTCAGTGGGGAACAGAGGGATGCTGGGAGTCCAGGAACATCACACCCTCCAAAATCTAAGATTAACATGGCAGGAGGTGACGGGTCCTCAGAGGCAGAACCCAAGCCCATCAGGGGAACAGAGATCAGCTGAGGCCATGATCAGGGCTCCCAGAGGCAGGGGCTGGTGTGGAGGTGGTAGAGATGGGAAAAGGACCGGGCTCATGGAAAGAACTGTGGGTCAGGAGGCAGGGGTGAGGGGAGCTGGGTCACCACACTGTGGGCAAATCAGGCCTCAGAATAGGAGCTTCAGTGGCTCCAACAATCCCAAGCACTTGGGTATCCATGGTCTCACAGGCTGCTCACAACAGTCCTTGAGATTGACGTGTAGTTCCTTTGAATAATGTATTAACTACAAAAATGACTATTCTTTGTACAGTCCAAGCATCCAGATGTTTAAAACTGTTAAAGGGAACTTAACATTGTGACTAGAAGGCACCAGCCCCAGACATGGTGGAAGGCAGGAGATGGGAGGGAGGAGCTAGGCTCTTCCGGACTGACACCCTCCTCTCCCCTTGTTTCCTCAGAATTTATCCAGAGATTCCTGCCTCGGGAGCTCCAGATCGTTCGTACCCTGGACCACAAGAACATCATCCAGGTGTATGAGATGCTGGAGTCTGCCGATGGTAAAATCTACCTGGTGATGGAGCTGGCTGAGGGAGGGGATGTATTTGACTGCGTGCTGAATGGGGGGCCACTGCCCGAGAGCCGAACGAAGGCCCTCTTCTGCCAGATGGTCGAGGCCATCCGCTACTGCCATGGCCGTGGCGTGGCCCACCGGGATCTTAAGTGTGAGAACGCCTTGTTGCAGGGCTGTAACCTGAAGCTGACTGACTTTGGCTTTGCCAAGGTGTTGCCCAAGTCACGCCGGGAGCTGAGCCAGACCTTCTGCGGCAGCACCGCCTACGCCGCCCCCGAGGTGCTGCAGGGCATCCCCCACGACAGCAAGAAGGGTGATGTCTGGAGCATGGGCGTCGTCCTCTACGTCATGCTCTGCGCCAGCCTACCTTTTGATGACACCGACATTCCCAAGATGCTGTGGCAGCAGCAGAAGGGTGTGTCCTTCCCCACTCACCTGGGCATCTCGGCCGAATGCCAGGACTTGCTCAAGCAGCTGCTGGAACCAGACATGATCCTCCGGCCTTCAATCGAAGAAGTTAGTTGGCATCCATGGCTAGCAAGCACTTCATAAAAGCAATGGCAAGTCCTCCCCAATAAAGCAGGGGAGAAAGCAAACCCAAAAACCCGCTTCTAAACTGGTGATATATATTTTACACTTTAAGTTACTTATCCTAAAACTTACCTACACCCTCCCCGCCTTACTTTTCTTTCCCTTTAAAGATCTGCATGGAACCAGAGGGCCTCATTCAGACTTCCCTTTTATTATGACTGACAAGTGATTTTCATATGGGCATTTAACTAAAGTTAATTAAATTAGACCCCAGAATCATACACATACAGGGGGAGGAGAGGAGAACAATGACCAAGAGCAACTGGAGCCACTGTTGTTGCAACTTCCTTTCCAAATAAAAGCAGAAGCACTGGGAATGCAGAATTGGCCTCTAACTTCTAGTCTTGGTGAGAAGCCTGTTGGGAGTCCTGCCCCTTCCTCATTCCGAAGGCCAAGTTGAGTCTGAGATGAGGACAGGACTTCCTCAGAACCCTAGACATCTTCCAGCTTCTGTTGAATCTCTTTAATGCTGTTAACGACAAGTCTGGAAAAGGTTCAGGACAAAGAAGTTCTTTTTTTCTTTTTTAATTACAAAACTAACAGCTGTTAGAATCTTTTTTTTTTTTGTTCTCCTTTTTTTCTTTTCCCAGCTACAACAAAATCTGGGGAGATGCATTATAATTTAAAATATATAATATTGCACAAACAACCAAAAGATTAAACTAAAGAAATAATTACAAAGAGAAAAACCCCATCCAATCAAACAGATTCCGCATTCTCTCCGCCCCACCCCCTCACTCCTTGGGATCCCAGCCACGCTCCCATGAAATCATTGGTGAACACCAGACTATGTACTAGAATACCAGAGCAGCACTAAGCACCAGGGCCTCCAGGGATTCCTGCAGCCCTGCATTCCCCCAAGAGAGGTGCAGCTTTAGCAGAGTGGAGGGTGAGAGGCAAAGACAGGTCTGCCTTCAAGAAGAGCTTTCTCAGAAGCCTTTTTCAGAAGAGCTCCCTTCTAGAAGCAGAAGGGCTGAGGCAGAGAAATTGGGCTTACCCGAGTTGTAAGTACTCAGCTTTGATCACTGCTCTGTACCACTGCGAGCTGGCTTATGTCCTAAGATCCAGGTGAATTGAGGTGGGTAGCTGGCTGGACAAAGTACCCCGCCAGGCATCGCACAGAAGGGCCTGAAGTGGCCCCTCCCTTCGTGGGGAGGGGGAGAAAAGCAAGAGCAGAGTCTTGCAGGTGGCACAGCTGGGCTAAGGACTTGGGTGCATCTGACATGAGGAAGCCCTGGGAAAGGTGTTGGGGACATCCCAGCTGGGCTGGATGAGAGGAGAGGGGAACTCAGGGTTTGGTCTCTAGATTCTGAACCACAAGGAACCTTTCTGGGAATGGAAATGCCTGGGAAGAGGAGATTCCCAAGAGAGGCTAATTTCCCAGAATCAAACGTCTCTTACCCACCGGAATAAGAACCAAACTGTTTGCCATCCCCATCTAGCCAATGGCAGGTGGCAAGGTGGCATGTCTTTCCTTGCCTGCTTATGGGTGGACAGTGCGTTGACTTGGCTTCTTCCAAGAGACTGGTGGTTCAGCTTCTGTCCACACAGGCAGAAGGGATGGAGCTATCCCTTGGGACTTCCCAGCAAGAGTCCCCAGGAACAGGGTATTCAGCATAGAAATGTAGGCTCTTCCGGTGAGGGGGCAGGTTTCCTCCCCCTTAGGTCATCCTATGGTTGGCACAAGTCAGAGTTCTTGGTTTGTGAGCCCCTTCCCAGATGTGAGCAGAGGCCCACAGGGCCAGCAAGAAACAACTCAGAATCTGTGCCTAGAGCTCTGGTTGAGAGGCCACTTGGGGGACATTCTTGGTCAGTGTCTTCCAGGGCTGGGCTGAGACGATCGAGGGAAATGGGAGGTGCTGTGGGAGGGGGAGCTGCTTGCTCTGGCTCCCCTCATTCCCAGTCCTCCCACTCTACATCTTCCAGCTGCAAATGGGAGAGGACAATGGAGAGCACAAATACCAATTTATTCCTCAAACTCAGACCCAAAGCTCCCCTTGCTGCCTCCATTTCCAGATAGCCCCCCCCCAAGCCCCCGACTGCCCTGGGCCATACACTGCCCACGAGAGTGAACCACGGTCTTAAGGAATGTGTCTGGGAGCAGAGCTGCCCTCTGTCTAAGGGGTGAGTCTGCTGCTCTGATCATTCCAGACCCAAAGGAAATGTTCCCACCAACCAACACTTGTCTCTACAAGTCAGCAATTCCTTAACAAAAACTTGTCTCCTGCTGAGCAGCTAAGAAGATGGCTCAGAGAGGCAGAGAGCTTGAGAGTGGCACTAAAATTAGAAGCAAGTGTGGCCCTGGACTACAGGTGCTTACAGGGTCTTCACTAGGGACTCCGGCACTGGAGTCCTCAGCTAAAGTCTTCTCAGGCAACTTTCTCTTGGCCTGCTGATCCCTGCTATGACGAGTTCCAGAATAACTCTGCTAGAAAGCCTGGATGTCAGGCTTTAAAAGAAGGCTGCAAAGATACAAAAGCCATGACAGGACACCAGGGCCTTTCTGCCTTGGGTATCATGAAGTCACAGGTACAAAATGCTCTCGCATGGGTCACTGCCTCCTCTCAGGCTTCAGTTTTCCAATATGAAAATCAAGGCCCTTCCCGGGCCTCTAATCTGTTTTACCTCTTTAGCAGGTACAGGAGTTACATGGTGGACAGTGGAAGTAACACGGACTTGAATCAGATGTCTGGGCTGGAGCCTCAGTCCTGTTGTTTACTAGCTGTGAGAGTTTTTTTCCTAGCCTCTCATTCAAAATGATTTTTTAATTTTGAGAGGTAGTGAAGAATGAGCTCATAACTGGACTGGGCCTTGTGGTGGTTTTGGTAACATATACTAGTGCTCCCAAGTCCCAGGCACCATGCTTAATGTGTCGATCATTGTCTATTTCTAAGCAGGAAGCCACTCTGCACATCGTGAATGTCCTGCCCCAGCTGCCATGGGGGAGAAGAACAGACCCCTAGACATCTTCCAGCTTCTGTTGAATCTCTTTAATGCTGTTAACGACAAGTCTGGAAAAGGTTCAGGACAAAGTTCTTTTTTCTTTCTTTTTTAATTACAAAACTAACAGCTGTTAGAATCTTTTTTTTTTTTGTTCTCCTTTTTTTCTTTTCCCAGCTACAAAATACTCTGGGGAGATGCATTATAATTTAAAATATATAATATTGCACAAACAACCAAAAGATTAAACTAAAGAAATAATTACAAAGAGAAAAACCCCATCCAATCAAACAGATTCCGCATTCTCTCCGCCCCACCCCCTCACTCCTTGGGATCCCAGCCACGCTCCCATGAAATCATTGGTGAACACCAGACTATGTACTAGAATACCAGAGCAGCACTAAGCACCAGGGCCTCCAGGGATTCCTGCAGCCCTGCATTCCCCCAAGAGAGGTGCAGCTTTAGCAGAGTGGAGGGTGAGAGGCAAAGACAGGTCTGCCTTCAAGAAGAGCTTTCTCAGAAGCCTTTTTCAGAAGAGCTCCCTTCTAGAAGCAGAAGGGCTGAGGCAGAGAAATTGGGCTTACCCGAGTTGTAAGTACTCAGCTTTGATCACTGCTCTGTACCACTGCGAGCTGGCTTATGTCCTAAGATCCAGGTGAATTGAGGTGGGTAGCTGGCTGGACAAAGTACCCCGCCAGGCATCGCACAGAAGGGCCTGAAGTGGCCCCTCCCTTCGTGGGGAGGGGGAGAAAAGCAAGAGCAGAGTCTTGCAGGTGGCACAGCTGGGCTAAGGACTTGGGTGCATCTGACATGAGGAAGCCCTGGGAAAGGTGTTGGGGACATCCCAGCTGGGCTGGATGAGAGGAGAGGGGAACTCAGGGTTTGGTCTCTAGATTCTGAACCACAAGGAACCTTTCTGGGAATGGAAATGCCTGGGAAGAGGAGATTCCCAAGAGAGGCTAATTTCCCAGAATCAAACGTCTCTTACCCACCGGAATAAGAACCAAACTGTTTGCCATCCCCATCTAGCCAATGGCAGGTGGCAAGGTGGCATGTCTTTCCTTGCCTGCTTATGGGTGGACAGTGCGTTGACTTGGCTTCTTCCAAGAGACTGGTGGTTCAGCTTCTGTCCACACAGGCAGAAGGGATGGAGCTATCCCTTGGGACTTCCCAGCAAGAGTCCCCAGGAACAGGGTATTCAGCATAGAAATGTAGGCTCTTCCGGTGAGGGGGCAGGTTTCCTCCCCCTTAGGTCATCCTATGGTTGGCACAAGTCAGAGTTCTTGGTTTGTGAGCCCCTTCCCAGATGTGAGCAGAGGCCCACAGGGCCAGCAAGAAACAACTCAGAATCTGTGCCTAGAGCTCTGGTTGAGAGGCCACTTGGGGGACATTCTTGGTCAGTGTCTTCCAGGGCTGGGCTGAGACGATCGAGGGAAATGGGAGGTGCTGTGGGAGGGGGAGCTGCTTGCTCTGGCTCCCCTCATTCCCAGTCCTCCCACTCTACATCTTCCAGCTGCAAATGGGAGAGGACAATGGAGAGCACAAATACCAATTTATTCCTCAAACTCAGACCCAAAGCTCCCCTTGCTGCCTCCATTTCCAGATAGCCCCCCCCCAAGCCCCCGACTGCCCTGGGCCATACACTGCCCACGAGAGTGAACCACGGTCTTAAGGAATGTGTCTGGGAGCAGAGCTGCCCTCTGTCTAAGGGGTGAGTCTGCTGCTCTGATCATTCCAGACCCAAAGGAAATGTTCCCACCAACCAACACTTGTCTCTACAAGTCAGCAATTCCTTAACAAAAACTTGTCTCCTGCTGAGCAGCTAAGAAGATGGCTCAGAGAGGCAGAGAGCTTGAGAGTGGCACTAAAATTAGAAGCAAGTGTGGCCCTGGACTACAGGTGCTTACAGGGTCTTCACTAGGGACTCCGGCACTGGAGTCCTCAGCTAAAGTCTTCTCAGGCAACTTTCTCTTGGCCTGCTGATCCCTGCTATGACGAGTTCCAGAATAACTCTGCTAGAAAGCCTGGATGTCAGGCTTTAAAAGAAGGCTGCAAAGATACAAAAGCCATGACAGGACACCAGGGCCTTTCTGCCTTGGGTATCATGAAGTCACAGGTACAAAATGCTCTCGCATGGGTCACTGCCTCCTCTCAGGCTTCAGTTTTCCAATATGAAAATCAAGGCCCTTCCCGGGCCTCTAATCTGTTTTACCTCTTTAGCAGGTACAGGAGTTACATGGTGGACAGTGGAAGTAACACGGACTTGAATCAGATGTCTGGGCTGGAGCCTCAGTCCTGTTGTTTACTAGCTGTGAGAGTTTTTTTCCTAGCCTCTCATTCAAAATGATTTTTTAATTTTGAGAGGTAGTGAAGAATGAGCTCATAACTGGACTGGGCCTTGTGGTGGTTTTGGTAACATATACTAGTGCTCCCAAGTCCCAGGCACCATGCTTAATGTGTCGATCATTGTCTATCACAGCTTATAAGCTTATAATGATCAATTCCATGTTTTAGGCTAAGTGATTAGCCCTAGATCACACTGTCTTTTGTCTCCAAGTCTAGAAATCTGCTCAGGTCCCAGCCTGGGGGACCATGAGTCAGGAGGTCTGGGGCAGGGTTTGGCATCTGTATTTTTTAATGGTTCCTTGGTGATTCTGACACAGAGCTAATGTCAGGAACTCTCCCTTTCTTCCCTCCTGGAACTGAGGGGAAGCAGAGCCTACCAATGACAACTGCTCAGGCCTGAGTGGGAGGTCCCCGCTCTCTTTCTGCAGGCTGCCACCTCGGATAGGCACAGGGTCCACCCTGAGGGAACAGTTGGGCTTGATGGGGAGAGGCCTCAGATCCTGAGATCGCTGGGCTTGCTTCCCTGTGGCCAACCAGGTCCACTCACCTCACCCGAGGCATCCACTTTGGAAAGTGCCATCTGCACTTCTTCTTCAGTCATGTCCAAGTCAAAGTCCTTCTCCCAGTCCTCGCTGATGTCTGTGCTTGAGCCTAGAACCAAAATCCACAGTGTCGAAGTCAGAGAGGGGTATGTGAAGAGGTCAAAGCTGGAGATAATGGCACTCTTTAAAAGGACCTGACAAATCCACAACAAAGGTCTTCGCCTTCTGCTGCTGTTCTAGTTCACTTCCCACTTTTAGGAATCTAAGGAAAAATCCTAGATTCAGTAAACAATGTGGTCAAAAGAATGTTCACTGTAGTGCTGCTATAGTGATGAAAACTTTAAAAACCACCTGAAAATCCACTGATAAGAGAATTACAAACATAAATAAATGGTGTAGTGATGTGATGGAACATTATGTGGCTTTTAAAGGTGAGGCTGCAGAACATGTACATGACAAGTAGTATTAAACTATACTATTAAGTGAGGAAAAGCAAGTTACTGAATAGTAGAGAAGCACTTTGGTTCCAAGGTTCCCTGGGAGCCACAAAAATCTTCCAGAAGAAATAAACAATGAACCTCTTCCTCTTTACTCCCTCCATTCTGCCTACACTGATCTTGCTACACCAGTGGTTCTCAAACTTCCTAATGCCGTGACCCTTTAATACAGTTCCTCATGTTGTGGTGACCCCCAATTTCATTGTTACAAATTGAACATAATTAAAGCACAGTGATTAATCACAAAACAATATGTAATTATATATGTGTTTTCCGATGGTCTTAGGCGACCCCTGTGAAAGGGTCGTTAGATCCCCAAAGGGGTCGCGACCCACAGGTTGAGAACCGCTGTGCTACACCTAAAGCACCAGGCACATTCCCACTGCAGGGTCTTTGCATGGGCTGTTCCCTACACCTGGAATTCTCCTATATCCACAAGCCAACTTCCTAACTTCCTGTACACCTTTACTCAAAGCTCACCATCTAAGTATGGCCTACCTAACCATCCTTTTATTTTATTTTCTAACATCCTTTTAAATTGCAACCTATTCCCCTCACTCTGCTCTAGTTGTTCTTTTTTCCATTGTTTTGTCACTTTCTAGCATATATCATCAGATTTAATATGCTTATTGTCTAATAATATAGGAGTTAAAATGAGAGCTCCCCAAGAGCAGGCAGGGTATTGGTTTTATTTCCCCACATACTCCAAGTGACTAGAACACATAGCTTGTACCAATAAATATTCATGGGCCCTTTCTCTAAACCAGGGGTTGGTAAACCATGGCCCATGGACCAAATCCACCCTCTGTTTTTTGGAAATAAAATGTTGTACACACATTGCCTATGGCTGCTTGAGGCTACAACAGCACAGCTGAGTAGCTGAGACAGAGACTCTATGCCCCCAAAGTCTAATTTATTTGTGATCTGGACCTATACGTTTTTCTATATAGAACAAGTTTATCCATCCCTGTTCTAGGTGATTCTGATGCCTGCTAAAGTTTGACAACCACTGCTCTAAAAATTCCTATTTGGTTATGATTTCTTACAAGCAAATATTTTTAAAATGTACATTGAAAGTTATTACTAAGAAGAAAGCTACAAATATAGTTCCTGTAAAAAAAATATATGCAGTAAGATTCCATTTTAGAAATATGCTCACAGATGTATGCACACATGCAGAAAAGATCAGCAAGATATCCACAAAAATACTAACAATAGTTATCCCTAAGTGATGAGGTCATGCGGTAATTTTTCTTGGTGTGGTTTTTTTCCTAAAAGAAACATATAGCACCTTTAAAAAATGTGGGCCCCTGATACCAATAGCATGACTCGTAATATCGCCTTATTTCTTGTCTAACTTGCTCCTCACCAGGTGCCTAGGGTCTCAGCCCCCACATTCCTTATAAGGGGTCTCACACTGTGCTCTCTGCCCAGCTAACTATAAGCAGTGTGGTAAGAGCATGGTCTATGGAACCAAGCCAATCTGGGTGGAATCCCGACTCTCTCATTTACTGTAGTCTTGAGCAAGTTACTCTGAGCTTCAGTCTACTTATAAATAAAGATAAAACCACTCTCTTTGCAAAGAACCACTGGAGGAGCTTATTAGCATGCAGACTCCTGCTCCCCCAACCCCCTCATTCAGACTCAGCAATCTAGGGGATGGCCCAGAATTCTGCAGGAACCTGGAGGATTCTGTGTAGACTAGAGCCTTTCAGTTTGATACAAGATAGTGTTAATATTATAAATAGCAGTGGAAAGTGCCCATAACTTAAGTACATAGTGGATATTTAACAAATGGAGCCCTTAAAGGCCTCTTCTCAAAGTTAAGTGATGTTGCACATGGACCCACAGATAGTCAGGGACAGATGTGCCACCAAGACCCAGTTCTTCTGATCCACATCTAAGTGTCCCTGTGCTTTGAGAACACTTTGGTGGGACCCACCTGGCCATCTGACAGTGCAGCTCCCTGTGAGGTAGAAGCCAGACTCCTGGCTGATTTGTCACTTCAGAGCTGTGGCTGTGGCCATGACAGCTTTCTCTAGCCTCAGTTGTCCTTTAGGGATTTGAAACTCTCTTCTTCAGGCTTAAATGCTAGGGCAGACCCTTTCGAAAACAGAGTATCAGCTAAACTTTTTGGAGCACTTCCCATCCACCCTCTAAGGTAGGTATTTACATCCTGGTTGACAGATGAGAAAATGAAGGCTTTGAGTGGCAGAGATGTGAACCAGGGCTCTGCCATCTGCCTTGTCCCACCATCCGGTTCCGTCCCACAAGGAGAGTAGTAAGATCTCCATTATACTGTGCACGTGGCAGAAGATTCATCTATGCAACAATCATTTTAGACTTCATGATGGAGTTTTTCTGTTTTTTTGATTACTAACCTCAGGTAGGAAGCAAATCTGCAAAGACGGGAATTGCACTGGGACCTGGGAGACCCTGTGGTGAGACCCCAGGAAAGACTGCTGCACCCAGAGACCAAGCCTCCCTCGTGTCATTTTAGGAAGTAATACAAGTGGGAAAGGAGTCACTCTGTCTCTAAGTCTCCATCTTCCTTTTAAGATTTACTCCTTCTACTCTGTTCCCACTGCCCTACCCTCATCTAAGACCCTGGCTTCCCCTCACTGACTACAACTACTTCTGGTGGGTCTTCTGCATCGAATCCCCGCGTGCACCGCAGACAGTAAAACAGAGTGGTCAAGAGCTTTTGCTGCATCTTCCCCCAAATCTCCTTTTGTCCAGTCTCTTTCACCCACCACTCATTTTTTCTGATCATGTTCTCTGATGGGATTCCAAATGGAACCTATAATTCTTTAACCTACAACTGTTTCATCGCTATTCCCTCCCTTGTCCAGCTAGGATTCCATTAGCCATCATTCTGATCACTTCTTGCATGTACTTGACTCTCTCCTTTTCTTCCACTGATTTCACCTGGCTAAACTTGAACCCTGGTTAAATCCAACTCCCCATCTGCTCTGTGCCTGCACCTGAGCAACTGAATGTGGCTGGACAAAAGTGCAATAGTGCTGACCGGTGTCTCCAAGTTAATGACCATTATCTCCAATGGGCCCTTAGTACCATCCACCCAGCAACCACACACTACCTGTTGGTCCATCACCTACTCATCCACTCTCCTAAATGACTATTTCATACTTTTCTAAATACTTATTGGGTAGGTGATTGACCTGTTTCCTACTAATAAAAAATGGGGAATACTGCACAGAACTCACAGGGCTTTTGTGAAGAATGAGTGATTATGGATATCGTGCTTAGCACAGAGCAATATGAATTTACAGAAAGTGTTCAGAGACCAGTACCTCTTATTATCATCATTTCTCCAAAGCAGGGCTCTACTCAAATTTCTTCCTTGATTAAGCACCTGGAACAATTACCCCCAGTTGATAGAGGCATAAACAGAGGCTTAGAGATCAGTAACTTTTCTGAATCACTTGGCTTATGAGCAAAGTTGGGATTTGAACCCAGAGCCTCCCCATGTGAGGCTCTTAGTACAGGTTGGGCATAAAATATAAGCAGCATGCCCTGCTGCTTTGTGGCACTAAGTGCAACCTTCTAAATTCAGCTTAAGTTCTTAAGTTCTATTTCTGAGCCAATCCATTCACCCTTCTTGTTCCACCCTCTCGCAGGAGACAATACAGAAAAGTGGGCTTTGGTCACCACCCTTCAATGTGCCCCATGCCCTCTGCTATATGGACTTTGAAGGCACACTGAGCCTGGACCACTTCCCCGCACCTGCCCCAAACTCTCCAACTCTCCTACACAACGCTTGTCTCCGCGGTGAAAGACTCGCTGACGCCGAGAAGTTCCTTCTTCCTTTGACCTTCTCCAGTACCAAGTCTGCCCCACGCTGCTTCACGTGTCATCATAAAGACTGCAGCTTTTGCCCCTCCCTCCTCAGTGTCTCACAAAGAATAGGTAGGAGCTCAATGGATGACCTCACTGAGCCAGTCAGAAGGAAGCACTCTGTTTGGAAACTAGAAACCCTGCAGTTTCCATTAGGGAGCAGGGGAGGGTACAGTGGGGTCTGTTTCCCACCCACTGCAGCAAACCAGTCCCTCAGTGCCAGCAGGCCAGCACGCACCAGATGGGCAAGCTGTGTGGCTGACTGGTACCGAGTGCTGGCAAAGACAGGACGCATGTGTGTGTGAGGAGTTGAGGGAAGGTCTTGCTGGCCATCAGCTACCTCTAGAGAGGCATTTTTGAATGTGGCAAAGAAACTGACAACAAAGCTATGATTGTCAATTCTAGGAGTTAGAGAGGTTCCCCCTGTGACATCAAGTCAAAGAGTCTCCAGACTAAAATTCCATTATACAGATTAGAAACTAAAGCTTATTACTTAAGTTGGCTCACAGAAAGTTCATGAGTATTAACTTTATTCTTTAAACTGTACATGTAGCCCTACCCGGTTTGGCTCAGTGGATACAGCATTGGCCTGCAGACTGAAGGGTCCCGGGTTTGATTCTGGTCAAGGGCACATACCTTGGTTGCAGGCTCGACCTGGGAGGCAACCAATCCATGTTTCTCTCTCTGTGTCTTTCCCTTCCACTCTCTCTAAAAATCAATGGAAAATATCCTCGAGTGAGGATTAACAAAAACCCCCACAAAACTGTACATGTAAGTTTTGTTTATGTATTTTATAATTATAATTAATGAGGGCTTAGGGAAGCTAAATGACTTTCCTAAGGTCACCCAGGAGAGAAGACCCTTGACATCAATCAGTGCCACCGGAATACCCACCTCAAGATAAGGTTAAATTGTCCAAAAGGATAGAAATGGGTACAGTGTGGTAGGAGGTTAAGGGCGTGGCCTTCAAGTCAGACAGACTTAAGTCTGAATCTGGGTTGGCCACTGTGACCCTGTGACTTGAGCAAGTTACTTAATATTTCTGAGCCTCACTTTCTTCATCTGTAAAATGAGGACAGTAACCCTGACCTCACTGGGTTGTAAGATGTGAGAAATTAAAAGCAATGCTACAAACTTTAGCACAGGACCTGACATAAACCTTATTTTGTAAGATGCACTTTAATCAGTGTATTTTAGAATTGGACTAAGGTAATAAATAATATATAGTAACAGTCATCACACTGGTATCACAAATAAAGGACAGCTGCTCCTAGGATCCTCACAAGGGTCAAGGAGATCAGTCTGCCTTGTGAGGTCTCAACTCCCAGCTGCCCTGCCCCACACACTCCCTGGGCTCTGGCCTTGACTTACCTTTCTTTCCATTGTTGGAAGGTGTAGATTTCCCACTGTCCGAGTTCAGCTCAAACACCCGTAAGTCTGTGAGCACCTCCTCCCTGAGAGTCTCTACTCTGGCTGGAGGCCTGGGCTCTGGGCCAGTGGGGCGACCGGCAGAGGTGTGGGGCTTAGACTGAGCTGGGGGTGGGGGTCCAGTCTCGCCCACATCCACAGCCAGGTTCTGTTCCTCCAAAGAGGCCTCTAGAAGCTTTTGGGACAGGTCCTTGGGCAGTACTGGTGCCTCAGGTGTGGTGGCAGATTTGGCAACCTGGGTCACGAGGGAGATACTCTCGCTGCTCTCGGATGGAGTGACTTCTGTTGGAGGCTCGACTGGGGTCACCAGATTCTCTTCACAGGGACTCTGGGGGCCAGGTCCTCCTTCAAGGGATGTGCACGTTTTGGCCACAGGAACCTTTGCCTCTTTTGGAGGTGCGGGTGAAATGCCCACAAGCTCCTCTGTCAAGAGAGAAAAGCAGGGAAAGCGGGCAATGTGCCCTGGTCAGCCCCAAGACAACCTTGAAGCTCCTGAAGACAGGCCTCGGTTTCTTCCAAAGTTTACTCTGAACAAGACAAAAGGGTGCCAGTTTCCTCCCTTCTCCATCAGCCTCTACGACATCCTGGGTGTATGATCTCAGGCAAAGCACTTAGTGTTTGTTTTTAACTTTTCTTTAACTAGCTTGCCTCATTTATAGAAGAGGATAATGAGTTGTGGTCATGACCATATATATAAGCTCTTAGTACAGGTTGGGTATATAGTATAAGCACTTAATAAATAAATGTGTTAACATTACATCATGCAGGTGGCTCTCACTGTCAAAAGCTGAGCTGCCATAGGGGGATGCTTAGCTCCCTCCCTAAGCCAGCGGTTCCCAAGTCTGGCTGGGCATTAATATTGCTAGGGGAGCTTGGTAAATACAAGTTTGGCCCTGACCTGTGTGACTCAGTTGGTTGGAGCGTCGTCCCATCCAGTATACCGAAAAGTCATGGGTTCGATTGCCCAGCTGGGCACAAACCCAGGTTGCGGGTTCAATCCCGTCGAGGCATGTACAAGAGGCAGTTGATTGATGTTTCTTTCTGACATGGATGTTTTTCTCTCTCTCTCTTCCTCTCTCTAAAAATAAATTTTAAAACAGTAACAAAAACCCCCCAAAAAACAAAAAACCCATAAGTTTGGCCACAGAATCTTACAAGAGGGGATAAGGGGCTCTGGGATTTCCATAAGCATCCCAGGTGACTCTGCAGTAGCTGGGCCATGGCTGGCAGCGTGATCTGCTGCAACTGACACAGCAGATTAGGTGCTTTCTGTACCTAGGATCCCACCAGCCTTGGGAAACATCTCATCAGCTCAGCCTATCCTTAGCACGCACACACACTCATTCCTCTTCCCTGGGGTGCCACGTCTCTCCAGGCTTCAGCGAGAATGGCCAGACAGTCGCCCACAGGCAGGACCTGTTACCTGCCCAATACCTCTTACCTTCTTCCTCCTCCCATCTAGGCTCCTCAGAGATGCTTTGTTCTGCCCGCTGCTTCAGGGCATCCCTCCGGGCCTGCTCCTGAATGTGGGGGAGCAGATGTCGAGAACAGTCAGAGCACCCTCTTCCTAGATCTGGTCCTGACCCCAGAACTCTTGGCACCCTGTGTCCCCTTCTTCCCTCAACAAAATCTAGCCCACTTCCCCCATGGCTAAGTGGAGTACCTAGCCAGGCTAGGCCAGCATACCTGCTCCAGTTGATGAACTTTATAAAAATACCGATGCCAGAATTCTGAGTGGGAAACAGCCGCTGGCACCTGGGGGGAGGGGACAGCAAAGATGAAACTTCTGGAGTGGTTGTGTGGGTCTGCATCCCAGCCTTATCAGCCAGCTCCTAGCCACTCTGGATTTCAAATACAGTGAGAGGCTGAGCAGTGATTATCAGAGTATTTCCAACCCACACCCCACTCCTGCTACCTTCCTGGCCTAGGTTGGCCCAGGAGCGAGAAAAGGAATTCCACCAGGCTTTGCCAGTCCTTCCATTTCTCACCATGATGGCCAGAAACCTGGCATATCAATCCCCCCGTGCATATTCTCGGCTCAGGAACTGGCTGGTTTGGCTCTGTAGGGTCTCCCACTGTTCTCTAAGCCAGATGACTGTGAAATGACTCAGGATATGTCTCTCCCACCTCCCGACACCTCAAGCTGGGAGCTGGCTGAGGTCCTGCCAGCTGGGCCCTCACCATCTTGGTGTAGAGGGCCCGGATGGAGGGGCTGCCTACAAGGAGCTCTGAGATCTCCCCCTTCTTCTCCTCCAAGCAGAACTGGGAAAGCCAGGCGTCAAACAATTCCGGGGGCCCTGTAGAGGGACAGACACTGATGGTCAGTTCCCTGGGTCTGGGGAAAGAACACTGGGCCTACAGAAAACACACCTAAGCCTGGTCATGGATAAGGTTTTTTTTAAAGCCATTTGGCCCAAGGTGGGGAGTAAGGTAGGGTGAAGGGGTGGGTGATATCAGGCGCAGCACCTACATGACCTCCAGGAGGGCCGCAGACTCCATCTCTCCCACGCCTACTCACTGTGTAGCCCACTGCACTTGGCCACTGGATCTCCTCTCTCAAAGAGCTGTTCTCAGGTTACCAGTGACTCATGTTGCCAGATCCAATGGCTACTTCTCTGTCCTCCCTCATGTGACCAATCCAGTTTATGACTCGGAGCCACTGCTTCCCTCTTGAAAATCCTGCAGATCCAGGGGTCCAAGTATCCCCTGGACACGTCCACTTGCACAGGTGCTGCAAACCCAACTCATTTTCTTTCCTGCCCAACCTGACCCACCTAGTGATCCAATGGAAACCTGAGGACGCTTCTAGACATGTACTTTCCTCTTCATTCCTCCTGCCACCTCCTAGGTTCTGGCCCTATCGCTGATGTGAGGACTGCTACCAAGCCTCCTAACTTGTCTTCCTGTCTTCTGTCTCTCCCTCTATTTCATCCTTCACAACACTGCCCGGAGCTCTTTTATATAATGTAAAATCTGATCACCTCAGGCCTCAAAACCCTTCAATAGTTCTCTATAGGAAGGCTTTTAAAGCTACGGTCCAAAGATGGGCTTCAAAAGGTCAAAGAATTCCCATTTTGCATATAAAATTTTGTGAAGAGAGGGCCTGTCATTTTCAACAGATTTTTAAAGGCCCTTTTGACTTAAAAAAAAAAATGTTAAGCAGCACTACCTTGAGCATTTTAGGACAAAATCCAAACTGCTTAGTCTGACACCGAAAGCATTCCAATCTGGCTTCCACCACATCTCTCACTGCTTTCATTCCCTCACACGCACCCTTTAATCCAACCTTCCCAAATGCCAGCTAATCCCTGTTCTTTCTGGACCTTCTGCTTAAACACCCCCCCGCCCCACTTTAAAGATAAAATTAATTTACTGCTAATTCATCCTTAAAACATCAATTCAAGTGTCACATCCTAGTTTCCCAGGCTAGGTTGGGTGCCATCCCTCTGGGTTCCCACTGCACCCATCGTTCTATAGAAGCAGTCACTCCAAATCTACTACCCTTGCTTTATTCACTATTTCTTGTTTCCCTCTCCTAACAGCAGGTTCCTGAAGGTCTAGACCAGGTTGAGGGTTTGACTCATTTCTGACCTCCAGTTCCCAGCCTGGGGCTTGCTGTACCACAAGGGATTAGCAAACAGGCAGGCAACAGGGCGGGGAGGGAGCCTGAGCTGAGGATGAGGGAAAGGGTCAAAGCCTTTGCAGACAGGGATGAAGAGAGCCTGGGTGCAGGGAGGAAGAGGGACCATCAACCCATCCCACCAGATCTAAGGTACACACTCACCCCACTCTGGTCCCTCTACACAGGGGATGCTTAGCCCTTGGTCTCCCTGCCCTGCAAGCCCACCCCCTCACCGCTACCTCCTCACCATCTGGTTCATTGCAGTAGGTTGCCGGGTCTGACTGCAGGCTATAGAGACGAGCCTATAAGAAACAGAGAAGATTCTTCAATAAGGCGGTGAAGCCGCCTCCCCAGCAGATGCAGAGATGCAGATCTTTGTGAAGACTCTGACTGGGAAGACCATCACCCTCGAGGTTGAGCCCATTGAGAATATCAAAAGCAAAATCCAAGACAAGGAGGGCATCCCGCCTGCCCAACAGCACCTGATTTTTGTGGGCAAACAACTGGAGGATGGCTGCACTCTTTCAGACTACAACATTCAGAGAGTACACCCTACACTTGGTGCTTCGTCTACAGGGTGGCATCATCGAGCCCTTCCTCCTCCAGCTCTCCCAGAAGATGATGTCACAAGTGTTACACCTGCCTGCACCCCCAAGCTGTCAACTCCCGAAAGAAGTGAGGCCACACCAACAATCTGTCCCCCCAGAAGAAGGTTAATAACTAAGGCCTCTCCACCACTTCCTCCAGCCCACAGGACTGACTGCCTGCTGCCTGAACCCAGTGGCCCTGGGACCTCAATAAAGTTTCCCTTTTGTTGACTGGAGCAATAAAGAAAAAAACAACAGCCAGGCTGGTGCGGCTCAGTGGTTGAACATCGACCTCTGAACCAGGAGGTCACAGTTCCATTCCTGGTCAGGGCACATGCCAGGGTTACAGGCTGGATCCCCAGTGTGGGGGCGTGTAGGAGGCAGCCGATCAATGATTCTCTCTCATCATTGAAGCTTCTATCTGTCTTCTTCTATCTGTTCCTTCTCCTTTCCTCTCTGAAATCAATAAAAATATATTAAAAACAACAACAACACAGAAAAAGGAACATAAATTCTGGGAGGCTAGGCAAAGAAAGCATCCCCTCTCTGCCAGAGTACCCAACCAACCACCGCCCAGCTTCTCTCCTGTTGGTTACCATACCCACAGGACACTTGTCAATTAAAACAGGCGAGGGAGGGGAGTGCTGGGCTAGGAGTCCAAAAGTAGGCTCTGAGAAAAATGATCTTTCACCTAATATTACACTAAGAAAATACAGGCTAAACAGGCTACAAAATTATATGTATAAAATGCTTCTGAATTATGTGAAATTAGAAAAACTAATGCAAAAGTATTAATAAGGTCCAAATTTATGGACAAGTTTTGAAATAATATAACTTCCCCAAGTTAAAACCATTCATCAAGAATCTCTTAATTTCATAGCCATCTGCCAAGTGAACTGTAAGCTGTGTTCCAATTAGGGCCATGGAAGTGGCAAACTTTGGCTGGTAAACAGAAAGCCCACCTTCCTTCCTCAGTATTACATGGAGCATGGCTGGCTGGCTGCATCAGAACTGCAGCAAGTGGTTTGGGTGATTCACTGTTATAATTTAAAGACCTGTAATTTTAAAATTTTCATAATTCCACTCAAATTTCACTAAGTGGTGGTGCCAATTCTTGGAATTCAGTACATTTGGAATGGAAATTCAATGTGGTAAAATGCTATGAAGGAGGCCAAATTGCTACAACACCATGGGATTTAGGAGAAAACACTCCATGACATCCAAGAAGTAATGATGAGAAAATAAAATGCGGTAGAAATATAGACATCCTCCTCCTATACATGTATTCCTATTGGAAGTTAGTTTTAAATAACCCAAATATGGAGCAGATCATGTCTGTAAAGATGCTCCCTACAGCATTCCTCATTATGGATGAAATCTGAAAGGAATCCAAATGTGCAACACAGGGAAGTGACTAAATAAATTATGCTAGCCCTAGCCAATTTTGCTCAGTGGATAGAGCTTCAGCCTGTGGACTGAAGGGCCTTGGGTTTAATTCCAGTCAAGGGCCCACGCATGCGTTGCAGGCTCCATCCCCAGTAGGGGGCATGCAGGAGGCAGCCAATCAATGATTCTCTCTCATCATTGATGTTTCTGTCTCTCTCTCCCTCTCCCTTCCTCTCTGAAGTCAATAAAAATATATTTAAAAAAAGAAATAAATTATGCCATATTCATTTTAAAGACATTAAAAATGATGGTGATTAGGAAAGGTGCTAAGTTTATTTTAAATTTTTCAAAAGCAGGTAACAAAATTGCATGTATAAAGTGCCTTTTTGTTAAAAAGAAAAAACCCTAAACTATCTTTACCCACGTTTGTAAACAAAAAGAAATGACAGGCTAGCCTTGGCCAGGTAGCTCAGTTGGTTAGAGCATCATCCCAATACACCAATACTCCCCTCTACACTCTTTCTGTGCTTCTCCTTCTTTAAAAGAAAGACAAGGAAGGAAGGAAGGAAGGAAGGAAGGAAGGAAGGAAGGAAGGAAGGAAGGAAGGGAGGGCAGGCTATATATCAACAAGAAATCAGTGGTTCTTTTTGACTGATGGGATTATGAGTTTAGAAATAATTATCTTCTTGCTTATCAGTATTCTAAAATTCAGTTATATACATATATTTACTTTTTAGCCAGAACACACATTGCTTTTGTGAGTACATGTGGGAGGCTAGAGCTCAGTGCTATTAGACAACTGCAGGGAAAGCCACTAGTGAATACCTTGGTGCCATCATAGAGCTCAGCTGTGCCAGAGGGTGTGCCCATCAGGGTGATGACATCGCAATCGATGGTTTTGTCTGCTGAGGGAGCAAAGGTGTCGGAGATCACCCCTAGGAAGTCAGACAAACCCTTCTTCATTTTCTCCGTCGCCCCCGAGGAGCCTTCAGTCTGAAAAGATAAGCCAGCAGAGGAAGCAAGTGGTCTAGGAGCAGGCTACAATCTGGGGCATGGGGCATAGAGCAGCTAAGTATCAGGGGCAAAAATTTACTGTGTATGTGGGGACCAGGGAAGTGCTCACAACTTCTCACTCCATCTCTGGGGCTGGAGAAGGAGAGAGAGGCAGCCAGGGTTCCCATCCCCCAGATGGGGGTGCAGAATAGGGCTGCAGTAGGCCTCTGTAGGTCAGAGCAGAGCTCCTTTGATTGGCTGTTTCATCAAAATTTCAAGGCCAGCCAGACTGAGCAAAAATTGACAGGTGAGGAGCCATGCCATAGACATTCAGTGGGGAAGACCTATGTGATGCGAAAGGTACTAGCTGGGGAATCAAACTTTAGTTTGAATCCTAGCTCTACTACTTGCTGATATGAGACCTAAACCCTCCTTGAGTCTATGTTTCCTTTTCTGTAAAATTCAGATAAATATATTTCCTTCAGAGGGCTACTGTGAAGATTAAAAAGATACGGCATGTGAGTTTCAGCACCAAAAAAAAAAAAAAGAGAGATAAGGCATTCACAAAGCCTGGCATATAGCAAACATTTAATAAATAGCAATACTGTAATATCACAATTTCATCATCATGATTGCTCAGGAAGTGGAATATTTTCTATGAAGTTTGAGGAAATATGGGCTGGATCAGAACACTGTCTTGCCTAGAGCCAAGCCTAGGACCAGCTGAGGGCCAATGTATGGACACCAACCTTGAGTCACACTGGCCAGAATGTCCTTAAGCAAGCAAGGATGAAATGCTGAGAGACAGGGTCAGGCTCTAAAGACCTCATGGAAAATTATAATATTTATTCCTAACTAGGCTGCCCAGGCATTTTTTTTTTTTTGCCCTGGCACTTTAAACTAGAACCTATCTCAGTGCCTAGAACAAGTTAGCACAGTATACAATCCTATTTTTGGAATAAAAAAATGAATAAACAAATGAAAGAAAAAAGTGCTGTCTCTGCTGCTGGCTAGACTTATCGCAGTTCAGCGGCTTACCACTTGTCTTTCATGCTCATCTGTAGCTGTGGTTAGCAGGCAGACAGTATTTTACAACATTCAACAAAACAAGCTTGGTAAAAAACTGCCAAACATGTTTTTCATAACATGGCCTCTAGTCACAGGGCAACTGATTCAACTGGTGAGCAAATGAAGAAATTGCAATCTGTCCCATCACTAAAGGGAAAACTATAATAAAAAACCAGTATACTGCCCTAACTGGTTTGGCTCAGTGGATAGAGCGTCGGCCTTCGGACTGAAAGGTCCCAGGTTCGATTCCGGTCAAGGGCATGTACCTTGGTTGCAGGCACATCCCCAGTGGGGGGTATGCAGAGGCAGCTGATCGATGTTTCTCTCTCATCGATGTTTCTAACTTTCTATCCCTCTCCCTTCCTCTTTGTAAAAAATCAATAAAATATATTAAAAAAAAAACAGTATACTGTACTTCATCAGAAACTTGAGACTTGCAGGGATATGTTTGACTAAATACAATTTTCTCTTCCACACTGACTTCAGAATCAAACTCCTATGTCAGAAGAGGATTCCAATGCACAGCTCTGATGAATAAAAACAGGGCCAGTAAAAATGTAAGTTGGCACACCTTTCTCGAGAGTAGTTTTGCAATAGATATTAAAAGGCCTAAAACTATACTCACCCTATGATCCCTTCCAATATTTTATTAGAAAGAAAATGTGAAAGGCAAAGATTTAGCAATCAGAATGTTCACTGTACCTCTGTTTATAATACTGGGGGAAAATGAAATAGGAAACTAGGAACTGGTTAAAGCCACACAATAGAATACCATGCCATTTGTGAAGCCACAGAATGAGGTCTGTAATGATGAAGTAAAAAAATAGGTTACAGCCCTGGCTAGTGTAGCTCAGTTTGTTGGAGTATCATCCTGTGCACTGAAAGGTGGCGGGTTCGATTCCCAGTCAGGACACATATCCGGGTTGCAAGATCAATCCCCAGTTGGGGTGCAGATGGGAGGCAACTGATCGATGTTTTTCCCTCTCCCCCATCCCTGCCCCCCAGTGCCCTTCCTCTCTCTGAATTAAAAAAAAAGAAAAGACAGGTTACAAAACATGGTCTTCAGTAGATTCCAATTATGAAAAAAAAAGTGTACCTAAGGGATATACTCCCACATAGTAACAGTAGTTATCTCTGGGAGATGGCATTTTGGATGTCTCTAGGCCTCTCTCTCTCTCTCTTTTTTCCTTTTACTTATCTGTATTTTCTAAATTATCTACAATGAATTACATTGGTAATAGGATAACATCTGCTAAGACAGTAAGAAGTGGGAAAGCTTATTAATACTTATACATAGAAGTAGCTTGTTTCCTTGGCAGACACAATTCTTTCGAAATGAGAACCCATGGGGGAAAACAATCACATAAAAGAAAAGTGGAAGAAAAGCTGGGAGCCTCCACCATGGTCTCAGAATAGGTCAGGCTGTGAGGGACAGCCACTTGGAGGATATAGGTTGTACTCACAGCCAGCTTCTCCTTGACCACGCTGGCCGTGGCTGCGATGGTGCAGGCCGTGTCATGCTGCACCACCTGGGTGAACTCTGTCAGGTCCCGCTTCATGAACTCCAAGGCTTCGGAGGACTATGGAAGACAGAGAGGGATGACAGAGCCAGCTGGCTCCACCACCCTCTGTTCCTGTTCCCTGTGCTTCTTCAGTACCGGACAGACACACAGAAAACTCAAGTGACACGGGAAGCCTAGCCTCAGAAACAATGCTCACTTGTCCCAATTCCACGACTTGATAACTGACAACAGAGAGCAAAGAACTTCCTGCTGCTCTGAGAACTGAGTGTCAGCCCAGACACTTACAAGCTGTGTAGCCAGAGAAACTCTCATCCAGTCTTCGGCTGTCTCCTATGAAATGGAGGGGACGAGCTCAGTGGGGTTAGGGGACACATATAGTCTGAATACCAAGCAGACTGTTGCATTGCTTTGATATGCCTTAAGATGTGACATCTATTTCAGATAACATGAAGAAAAGATTTTTTTTTTGTCAAAGGAAAGTGTTTCTATTTTTACTTTTTTTGTTATAGGAAAATTCAGCTGAAATGAGGCAGTATGTGAAGTTATTTGTCTGAAAGGTTTAATAAACATGTTGCATTAATAACAATAGTTTAGAAAGCTTTTATAAGTAATTCTTGACAATTTAATACCAACAAAAAGGTGTGTAATTTTTACATTCAACAAATGGGGTGTTAACAGAAATACTTGATTGAATTCTCTTCGAGGCATTCTTGGTCCCAACCATTCATTCATAGAGCTCCTTTTGGCAGAATTGATATTTGCTTCTGTTAGACCGGCGGTCGCCAACTGGTGGTCCGCAAGGTCCGAAAGGTTGGCGACCTGCTGTGTTAGACCAATCTGCTTCTTACCCTGCACCAGAACCAGTTGGAGACAGCAGCCTCTCAGCTCTTGTCTAAGTCTTGCCTTGTCTTGCTTCATCCTCACCCTTCCTGGGCTACCTCTGTACCCGTCTGCAAGCCCTCTCATTTTACGTAAGGATAGCCACTTGCAACATTTTAGCATGTTTTTTAATATTCTGGTTGTGCTTTCTTTGGGGAAGGGCCTGCTTAGTTTTCAGCAGCCTTGGAAGTCTCTGAGTGGGACACTCTCATCTATCAGCCAGAGGCTTCTCTGGGGGTGGGCGTTATGCCCCTATATCAGACTCAGAACTATTTAGTTGGGGTAAAGGAGTCATTTATTAATTCTTTCTCTCTATCCACACTGCTACCACCTTAGCCTAGGCCAGTGGTCGGCAAACTGCAGCTTGCGAGCCACATGCGGCTCTTTGGCCCTTTGAGTGTGGCTCTTCCACAAAATACCGACTTCTGCGCATGGGCCACGAAGTTTCAATCACACTGTACATGCGTGCCTGTAATACTTCTATTACACTCTCTTCCTGACATTAGTGGAGCTCTTTAAGTCAGAGCAGACATGTACATTATTCGATGGTTACACAGTATCCTATGAGCAAGTATAAAATCTGTACCCTCACTTGCAAGGTCCTTATGATCTTGCCTCTGGCAGACTTCCATCCTCTAAGCTGTGCCCCTCACTGAGCTCCAGCTGGCCTTCAAGTTTCTCAAATGCCCTAGCACCTTCCCTACTTCATGGTATCTGAACACATTATTCCTCTTCTTGACACATACTTCTAACTCTTCAAGGCAAAGAAGAGAACAAAAACAATGGTGAGCCCTCTCACCTGGCCAATTCCCGTTCCTACTTCAGATCTATGCTTAAATGTCACTTCCCTGATGCCACCTCAGACTAGGTTGGCTCCTCTGCTTCATGTTCTAAGGGACTTGCACATTCTCTTAACATTTCTCATACCTTAGACTTATGACTACCCATCCAATGTCTATCTTCCTGCATAACCTGTGAGTTCCATGAACATAGAGCCTATGTTTTCTGTTCACTGATGCTTCCCCGGTGTCTGACATAGAGTCAGGCATGGAGTAGGTGCTCCAGAATGTTTGCTTATTACACTTACATGAACCAAGGCAACTTTAATGATAAAACCATCTGCATGATTTGATGAATGATTGTCTCTCTCACTAGACTGTGGGCTAGAAGGGGAAAATATGAATAAACATGGTGCTTGCCTTCGAGAAAGGTCAGTCTACTGGGGAAATGCTCTCATAACAGTGCTGACAAGCAAGGACAGACTAGTGACCAGTGTATTATAGGGAGCTTGGAAAGACTTGGTGAAGGGAAGCATGGATTATGAGCAGGAGTCACCTAAGAAAGCCTGGGCATGGTGGGGTATGGGGTTTACTGAGGCCTATGGTATTTTAGTCCTAATGAACATAAAAGGTAAAGCATAAGTGATGAGGGATAAAGCTGGAGATGTTGCTGAGGGCAACCATGTAGCATCTGGTCAGCCTTGTGGGTGATGGAGAGCCACCAAAGGTTTAAAAGAGGTAGGACATGATGAGATCTGCTTTTTTTTTTTAAATCCTCACCCAAGGATATTTTCCACTGATTTATTTTAGAGAGAATAGAAGAGAAAGTGGGATGGGGAGAGAGAGACATCAATCAGTTGCCTCCCACATGCACCCCAATCTAGGCCGGGGATCGAACCTGCAATCCAGATACATCCCCCTAACTGGGAATCGAACCCGCAACCTCTTAGTGTGTGGGGTGATGTTCCAACCACTGAGCAACACTGGCTGGGACAAGATTTGCATTTTTTAATAGGTAATTTCAGGAGTGATATGGTTCCAGGGTGACAGGATTAGAAGAGGGAAGAAGACCAGTTAGGAGGCTGTTGCAATAGTCCAGGAAAGAAAACAGAAAAATATGAATAAGAACAGTGCTGGTAAGGATGGGACTGATTCAAGAAATATCAGGGATCCCTGACTGGTGTGGCTCAGTTGGTTGAGCACTGTCCCATTTACTAAGAGGTCACCAGTTCAATTCCAGGTCAGGGTACATGCCCGGGTTGGGGCTCGAATACCTATTAGGGGGTGTACAGGAGGCAGCTGATCGATGTTCCCTCTCTGTCAAATCAATAAAAACATATTAAAAAAAAAAGAAATAGCAGGCAAAAAAGGTGGATTTGGTAATTATATACCAGTATATGCACTGACTGAGAACAAGATAGAATCAAGAAGAGCCACTGGCTGCTAACCTAGATGACTAGGGTAGATCTAGTGCTGCCAACAAAGAGAAAACGCTGAAGGGGGAGCAGGTCTGAGAGACGATGATGACAATGACTCTGGTCATGTACAATCAGCAGTGACTGAAATATCTGGATCAGTTGTCCAGAAGGAGTCTCTCAAACACTAAAGCTCAGAGAAAAGGACTGCGTCACCCTAACAAGAAAATGGAGGTCACCCAGGAAGAGTTTATAAACAGAGCAGTGGGCTGAGGACAAGGCCCCTTAGATACTACACCTTTAAGAGGAGGCAGCGGCAGAGGAACTCCTGAAAACAGTCAGAAAAGGAAAGATGGGGAAGCATGTGGAGAACTGAGAAAGAATCATGTCACTAAAGCCAAGGGAGTAGAGTTTCAAGAAAGAGGGAGTGATCACTAGTGTCAAATGCAGCCGAAAGGTGCAGGAAGATAAGGGCTGAAAACACCCACTGGATTTGGCAAGTGGTAAGTAAGGCTGAGTGTGTATATAGATAAGTTTATGTGTGGTGGCTTCAGGGGTGCAGAGGGAGTTAGAGAGATCATTTTGTTGACCTCTAACTTTAAGAAGTAGGAGCTGCCCTAGCTGGTTTGGCTCAGTGGATAGAGTTGGCCTACAGGCTGAAGGGTCCCAGGTTCGATTCTGGTTGGGAGCACATGCCTGGGTTGCGGGCTCGATCCCCAGTGCGGGGCGTGCAGGAGGCAGCC